TAAGACAAGGATATTTACTCTCACCACTTTCATCCAATATTCTACTGAAAATTCTAGCTAGTACTATTGGACAAAAGAAAAAAAAAGCAAAAAAATAAAAACAAAAATGAATTCAGATTGGAAAAAAAGAAGCAAAACTTGCTCATGTAGAAAATTCCAAGAAATTTGCTAAAAAATGAGTAAGACTAATAAACAAGATCAGCTAGGTTGCATGATTAAAGGTCAATATCTAAAAGTTAATTGTATTTTTATACATTAGTAATGAAGACATCCCATGTTCATGGATCAGGAGACTTAATATTAAGATGGCCATATTCTCCATTGATCTATACATTTAAAGTGAAAATACCAATTGACATTTTTGAAGAAATTGAAAAGCTGATCCTAAACTTCATATGTGTATTCAAAGGAGCATGAATAACTGAAACAAGCTTGAAAATAAAGAACAAAGTTGGAGGGTTCCCGTTTTTCAACTTCAAAACTAATATAAATCTTCGTTAATAAAAACGTCGTACTGGCATAAGTGTAAAGCTACAGATAATAGAAGAGAATTGAGATCCCAGAAATAAATCCTTGTATGTGGTCAATTGATTTACAACAAGGGTGCCAAGACAATTCAATGAGTAAAGAATAGTGTTTTTAACAAATGATTGTATTGTTGGCTTAGGCACTGCTTTCTCAGATACAACCCCAAAACCACAAGTGACAAAACCACAAAGAAACAAATTGGATTTTGTCCAAATTAAAGGCTTTTATACTAAAAATTAAACTGTCAAGAAAGTGTGAAGACAACCTACAGAATGGGAGAAATATTTACAAATTTGATACCTGATAAGGAATTTGTATCCAATAGAAAGAACTTTTACATTCAGTAATAAAAAGATAAATAACTCAATTAAAAAAATGAGTGTAGGATCTGAATAGACATTTCTCCAAAGAAAGTATGTGAATTTCCAATGGTCACTGAAAAAGCTCAACATTGTTAGTCATTAGGGAAATGCAAATAAAGACCACAATGAGATACCACTTCATGCTTGCTAGGATGGCTAAGATAAAAAAGACAGATAAAAATAAATATTCAAGAGTCTGTAGTGAAGTTTGACTCCTAATACATTCCTGGTGGAAATATAAAGTGGAACAACCACTTTGGAGAACAGTCTGGCAATTTCTTAGAAAGTCAAACATAAAGTTACCATATGACCTAGCAATTCCACTTATAGGTATATTCTCAAGAGAAATAAAAACATACTTCTCCACAGTATCCTTTAAATGAATGTGCGTAGCAGCATTACTTATAATAGCCAAAAAGTGGAAACAACCCAAATGTTCATCAGCTGGTGAATGGATAAACAAGATATGGTATACTCATACAGTGGAAAATTTTTTGGCAATAAAAAGGAATGAAATTCTGATACGTGGTACGAAATGGATGAACCTTGCAAACATCATGCCAAGTGAAGGAAGCCAGTGACAGAGACTACATGTTGTGTAATTCCATTTATATGTAATATCTACCATGGGCAAATCTATAGGACAGGAAGTAGATCAGTGGTATCATGGGGGTGGGAGTGAAGGTGCATATGGGGTGGTTACTGACTGCTAATGGGTTTCTTTTCAGAGTTATGAAAATGTTGTAAAATTAGAATGTGGTGATGATTGCACAACTCTGTGAATACAGTAAAACCATTGAATTGTACACTTTAAATAGGTAAATCATATGGTATGTGAATTATAGTTCAGTAAAATTCTTTAAGAAATTAATTCATGCTTTTGGAAAATACCAAAAACCACAGGGGAAAAAAAAAAAAAGAAAAAAAAGAAAGAAATAAAGAAAAAAGGAAATAACTAATCCTGACTGCATTTATAGAAATTTTTTGGGGGGCAAGAGCTTATGAAGCGCACACAGAAAATTTAGTGTTCTGCTTTTTAAATTAAATTGAGAAAGTTTGAGAACCTCTGACTTAATCATTGCTTATTTATACATTCTCCTGTTGCTGGGTTTTAGGTTGCTTCTAGTTCCTATACGATTTTATAATTTTAGTTCTTTTATATATTTATATATTATTACACATAAGCTTTTATATGAATTTTGAATATTTCCTTAGGAAAGAATCTTGGAAGCTGTATTCGTTTCTTAAGGCTGCCATAACACATGACCACAAATTGGGTGGCTTAACACAACAGAAATTTAGTCTCTCAGTATTGGAGACCAAAAGTCTGAAATCAAGCTGTCTGCAGGGTTGGTTCCTTCTGGAGGCTCTGAGGGAGAACCCATTTCATGCCCTCTTCCTGTCTTCCACTGGCTGCCAGCAATCCTTGGTATTTTTTGGCTTGTGACTGTATCACTCCAATCTCTGCCTCTGCTTTTCCATCTCCTTCTCTGTGTGTCTCCTCTTCTCTTCTCTTGTAAGGACTCTTGTCATTGGATTTAGGGCCCACCTTAATCCAGGACGATCTCTTCTCAAGATCCTGAACTTAGTTCCATTTTTAAAGACCCTTTTTCCGAATGAATTCACCTTCACAGGTTTTGGACCTACCATTCAATCCACTACAAAAGCAGTGGCCTGTGAAAAGGATGGGAGGGAGGTCTGCCTCGTGGGCAGGCAGAAAGCGGGAGCTTTTCGTGGAGAATTAAAAAAACAACAATAAAACTGACTAAAAGTTAATCTGTTTTTTATCATCATTCATTAGCAATTCTAAACATTATCCATGCTAAAATGCTGTCCTCAGTGGTGTTAACTGTTCCTTGGACCTGCGCCCTAAGTCTGTACTCACTGCTGGGAAGCAGGATTACTTGGTCAGATAACATGAATCCTTCTAATTCTCCTGAGTTACATTTTTTACTTAATATCCAGGATATAGGAATATATATTCCCACCAGCTTCATACAAGATAATAAAAATATAATAATAGTGTTAATAATAAATTTGCTAACTTGATGAGTAGAACATACTTTATTTTAATTTCTGCGACTAGTGTAGTTGAACTTGTTAAATATTGCACTGGTTATTTATAATCTAGTTTTATAAAATTTTAAAATGTCTTTGTCAATATTTCTGTTAGACTCGTAGAGTGTGTTTCTCTTTATACAGTGAAAATAGAGGGCCCTTATTGCATGTTTTGTCATTTTGTTTCTTTTTACATTTTTTTAGATAACAAATTATTTTAATCTTTATATAGACTTTTCTTTATGTTTTTCTTTATTGCACACCACCAATGTTTGTGTTTTAAAACTTGTGAACCTCAGGCTACAACCTTCCATGAGGATGGGAAAAAAATCAGATTGTACAAATCTGTGACACTGAATTTTTTTAAAAAATGATAGTATAGGAAAGATTTTATATTCTGTATCACATAAGAAATATTACCTACCAACGACTGACGTGGAATCTGAACTACATGAGAGAACAGCACCATCAGTTTCTAGCCCTCATTTTACAGGTGGGAATCAAGCTCAAAGACTTGGGGGATTTGTTTGAAACTGGGACAAAAATGGTGATCTTTGAATCTTAATCCAGAGCTCCTGTCTCTTTCTCTCTTTGATATGTTAGCTAAATTTTTGAAATGCTTTTTAAACTTTTCTTCAAAGTCTTAGATTGCATTTTTTCCCTATTGCAAAGACACCACAGTTAATTATTGAAAGAAATGAAGAAAATACAGTTAAACTCAGAAGACAATTTAAGACACTTTGGGTTCCACCCACCTTTAGGGACACCTACTCTTAACATCAGTCATTACCTCTCTCTCTCTCTCTCTCTCTCTGCGAAACCATGCAATATTTTATGTTTTGTTTTACAACATGAATGTTACAGGGTAAATGATTTGTTTGTTGCCATTTTAATGGCTGCATAGTATTCTATCATATGAATGTATTCAACTTTATTTAATGATTTCCCAATTGTATGTTTAGTTTACTTCTAATTTGTTGCTTTTATGTTGCAATCGCAAGCACTGTGGATAGCCTTGACTATATTTCACTGTACAATTCTTATTAGTACATTAGGATGATTTCCCACAAGTATAATTTCTTTATGAGTATTTAGGATTTTCATTCACATGAAAGGCTTACTTTTATTGTTGATAATTGTTTTATGAAACAAATTAAATATATACAAGAGAAGAGAAAATATTATAACATACCTCCACTTACTTGTTGCTAGGCTCGTTCTAAAGTATAGATTTAATCTGACCTCTAAGAGGAATATATTCAAACAATAAGAGCTGTCTCTTTAGACAGCATTTCTCCCTTGATATGTTTACTTAGCACCCACTAACTGCAGGATCCTGTGTCAGCCTTTTTTACAGCATATTTTCTCCTTTATTCCTCATACCTACTTTTAGGGTTATTTTGATTTACAAAGAAGGTGAGAGTTGAATGAATTAGGAAGCACAGAGTTTATTAGGTGGTAGAACCTTTGTTCCGACTATGGTGACCAACTCGTTCTGGTTTGCCCGGTACAGTTGTGGTTTTAGCAAGTCCTGCACCCCAGGAAACCTCTTGTGGAGCTCTTTTACCTGCCCGTAATCCTGCTGACTGGGCTCACAGACCCCTCAAGCCTGTTCACAGACTGGGTCACCAGACCCCTCACATGCAGGTCTATGAGCTAGGTAACCAGCAACAAGGTCCTTGGAGCCGAAGGTTTTGAGAGCATGGCCTCACGTGGTGGATGCCCAGGGCAGTCAACTCCAGCCAAGCCTCCGCACCTTGCATATGCACTAACTCCACCCACACACAACTTATTTACAAAGAATGTGCCACACCACCCCCAACTGGACCTAAGGCAGGGGGCCTGATTAAATTATTCTATTTTCTCAACACCTCTCATTCCCAGTAACCCAGCACAGTTGCCCACTCAGAGCAATGCGACAGTCTAGGGTATCCCATTTCTAACTGTTTGGGATTAGAAGACAGTGAAGAATTGATTATTCTGGAGGAGTATGGATTATCTTGGGTTTTATGGTGTTTATGTCCATATGAGGTTGTGTGTTTTATTTTTCAGGCCTCTTCATGTGCTTGTGTGCAACGCAGCAGCTTTTGCTCTACCCTGGAGCCTCACAAAAGATGGCCTGGAGACCACCTTCCAGGTGAATCACCTGGGGCACTTCTACCTGGCCCAGCTCCTTCAGGATGTTTTGTGCCGCTCGGCCCCTGCCCGTGTCGTTGTGGTCTCCTCGGAGTCCCATAGGTAGGTGGGTTATGATTGGATGTTTTTTCACTTGTCCCCTTCCTTGCACCAGCTAATATTCCCCAAAGGCTCTCCTGAAAATAATTGTGATTAGTCCTACTCTGAGAAGCATGGGTGTACTCAGCCTGGCTTACTTAATTTTTCTAGGTCTTTTTTGTTTGTGTGGTTGCGAGTGATTGTTTGGGGGGACTGTCTATAGCAATGTAGATTGTTTTTACAACTATACTTCAAGCTCCTCATTGATTTTGCTTAGAGATGGAATAATAATTGATTAAATCTGAATGGCATGACCTTTATTGATTTGTAATTCAACAACTTCAACATCTTACCAAGAAGAATGTGCAGTTATTCTAGCAGGAGAAACAATGCAATTAAAGACTGCGAGATGAAATCCAATTGTTTTATAATGAGAAATTAGGGAATTCAATGCAGACATTAGCTGTGTAATTGTAGAAAGGGAAGTACTGTAGTTACAACATATTAGAAATCTGGCCATGCCTCTTTTGGTTAAAATTTCAATTAAAACATCAGATGGCACTTCTTTTCTATTACCATTAGGAGAATATTCAATTGACTAAAAAGACATTTGAAAATTTCATCGTATTTTCAGCATATTTGTTTCTGGAGTTGGATAAACAACTATTTGTCTAAAGAGAAGTACTCAGAAAAGACAAAGGACTTTCTGGGTGAGGCTAGATTTAATACTTGTTAGGGAGATTTCTCTTTTGCATTTTCTTGGGGTATGTGTGGGGGTGGGGGAGCTTTCCTTCTTAGCAGAGTAGCTGGAAAAAAAAATGCGCAAGGGCCTATTTTTTCCTCCTTCTTCTCCATCTTAAGTCCTGAAATGTTTTAGTGACCCAGAATGAAGCTTATTTTTTTAATCATACTTCCATAAAATGTAACCCCTGGGACTTGGAAGAGAGAGACCAGCCAAGGGTTAGCTTGAACCCTTTATCACTCCCAAACACAGGGGCTTATGGTATAAGTGACACACTGCAGATAGATTTACTTTTACCATTTTAAATTTATGGTAGCTGAAATGAAAGGAAAATGCCAGTAATAATCCTCCCCCGTGTTAAAAGACATGAAACATCTAGTAATTAGGTGGTAACAAAATCTGGACAGCCTTATCTTTGCAAATCACACCAGGTTTGTGAAAGAAAGTGGAGGGGCCCTGTGAAGGAGCAGGGCGGTTACCGCGGGGGTGGGAGGGAAAGCGAGCTCCAGAAATAAATCTGCCAGCCCCGATGGTTTGCCAGATGTGGAGGGCACCACGGGATATGTTTAAATGAGCTGGTATTTAATGGGAGATTATGTGGAATTGTCAGCTGCTGGCTTCCCTTTGTAAATCTGCATCTCGAATGGCATTTCATGTGATGTCCTTGTTCTCTCCTTAACTACATTGTAATTTGTGCCTACCTTGGAGATCCGAATCTTAATTTCATTTTAAAAAAAAGTGAATTTGGAAGGATCTAATTCTCCTGAATTAGATCCATTTTAGTTTATAAACAAGGCCTTCCTGAAATGTGTTATCAGGCCCACTCCTGTCTGATGACGGGCACTAGTTTTCCACTTGCCAGTTATCCTTTTCACATTATTAAAGGTTATTTTTACAAAATGTTAATTCCCCCACGCTGGCTTGTTTATGACACATGTACTGCATCCCTCGGCTCCCGAGCACAGATACTGGGTGCGCAGGCAGCACGTGAAGGCACTTGCTCACTACTCAAGGACCCAGAGCCCTAAACCGTGTTGTAAAATGCAAGTGTTGATGTCTAATTACCTCCATAAACCTTGGTGGAATCTCTTCGTTGGACTCAAGACCCCCTGTTCTGGGGAAAAATAAAGTCCTGTGTTTGCAGAAAATGTGATACCAGACTGCCCCAAGGCAAAATATTTATTAGCCTCCCTGTGTCTTCATTGTGTTTTAGTTACTTATCTGGAGTCTGAGCAGGTGAACTGAGTTTCTGCATACCTAAAATACATCATATTGAAATGAGAACTTGACTTCCTCGCTGTGAAAAATTTTTGATAACAATTAAAATAGAAAGAAAAGAGCAGAGTGCTTGCTGGCTGAACAACTGTAAATGGCTGCAGCTGTAGTGTGGTGCCAAACTGCTACACACACACGCACACGCAATCACACGCACGCACACACACGCAATTTCTGATGCAAATTCAGTTCTATTCTTTGAACATACTAGCTTTTGTCTACATAGAATCCAGCCCCATTATTTTAGTTTGGGAATTTAAAAAATCCTCAGTTTAAGAAGAAAAAAAAGAAAAAAGAGCAATATATATAGAAATACAGGATAGAGGTTCCCCTCAAAAAGCAAATGTTAATGTCCAGAGAGTAAATGTTAGTGTTTAGTGTACTGGTAAGGGATAATTCTATTAAGACATTATTGTTTGGCTTTGTTGGTTTTTCAAATTGCAAATAGAGCAGGCAGCCTTTGAAGAGTTATTTTACTGCCTCTTGATCAGAAAGGTGAACATGGTCATTTTTCAGGACACCTGCTTTGGCGCAGAGGCATCAGAAAGATAGCCTATAGGTCTCACTTCCTGGAGGACTGTCGGTGCAGTCAGTCAGTCCTCAGACATGGGTTTTGTGCACAGAAGATGGCAGGAAAGAAAATCAGGAATCGGCTTCATGTGGGAGGGGCTGTTTGCAGAGAGAGAGCCTGATATTCAGCTGCTGGTGCTTCTAAGTCTTGAAACTGTCAACCTGGTTCTGTTTAATTTCTCATCATGGCCTTTTTTTTGTTGTTGTTGTTCTTGTTTCTAGATTAGGTACTAGGAAGGAAAGACTTTTCTCTTCTCAGAAGTGTAATTGACCCAGTGCTCTCCAGTCATGAGATGCTTCTGTGTTGCCCTTAAAAGCCAAAGCAGGGAACTTATTCTAAATATTACAAAGTGCCACATGCAAATATTAATGAAGATCATAGAAGATTTGAACCTAGTTGTCAGTTTTTCCCTTCAAGCGAGAGTCGACACAAGGCTTTTTGTCATAAGGGAAACCTGGCCCTTAGTTTGAAATCTCAAACCTATGATCAAACTTCAATTCTCTAATTCTGTATTTAGTCCCTGCTATGTGTCAGGCACTGTGCTAGGCATGCAGGAGTCTCACTGTCTGCTTTCCAAAAATTCAGTCTCGCGTTGGAACCAGGTGAACACATGACTTACAATCTGCTGTGATAATGACAGAGGTACAAGGTACAGAACACAGAGATGGTGTAGTTAGCATCACTACTGATCTTGGAGGGGCAGCAGTTGTATTGAACATTAGGTATGACATTATTATGGACTGGGTCCTGGGGAGTGGATACTTAATTCCCAGTGTGATAATGACAGAGGTACAAGGTACAGAACACAGAGATGGTGTAGTTAGCATCACTACTGATCTTGGAGGGGCAGCAGTTGCATTGAACATTAGGTATGACATTATTATGGACTGGGTCCTGGGGAGTGGATACTTAATTCCCATGGAAACATGTATTTCAATATGTTTTGCATGGCTTCTTTCAATTTATCCACCGCTACCACCCACGAAATTATTGGGACAACTAGCAATGGGAGAGTTAGTTAGGGAGAGCTTCCTGGAGGAAGTGGTGCTGGGTTGGGTTGAAATGCCAAGAAGTGTTTCCAGCAGCAGTTAATGACAGAAGAATAGAGCGTCAGAGTGAAGAGTGTAATATTTATTCTGCTCCTTTTAGATATGGTAGAAATCCTTGATGCTCTTTTCTGCCCCAAGTAGGTAGAGTTTCCAAGCTATGCCCCATACTTTGGATCACTGGGTTCTCAGCCCAATAGTCTCTTTTTGTTACAACTCTTCTGTAACACCTTATTACTGTGTTGAAATAAAGTTCAGAAATAATATAACCTTTCTCGCACAAATATATTTTAATTCAATGTGATAGCTTAACTGTAAGATAAAGAAAAAATAAATGTGAAACAAAATAGCATGTGTTTCAACATAAAATTGCTTGGGCAGGGCTATAGGAAAAATACTCAGATGTGTGTGTCCATGCATAAATCACCTCATGTGGGACCCTCACAAATGCAGACTGTTAACAGGTATGTGGTATTGCAACTCCACTACCACCAACATTGAGTCAATCTTCACCCTTCACCACAGATTCTGGAAGTGTGTTCTTTCCTCATTTCCATAGTTGTTGCACGACACTCCTGGAAATTCCATGCATGTTAAAGCTGTGTGTATTTGTAAAATGCAGCTAGGCTCTGGGCTCCAATAATTACACTCAGGCTTTTCATCCGTGTGAGTGTCCAGTGGGGCAGTCTTCATTGAGCAAGACTCTTCCTGCATTGCAGGACGTCTACCATCCTTGGCCCCCGCCAGCTATCATTATGACATCCAGAAAAAAGCCCCCATAAATTTTCAAATTTCCCACTAAGTTTCACTGCCTTGGATGATTAAGCTGGGAAATGTGGGCTCTTCCTGTGGTTTGAAGACTTGGAAACAGACAGCCAATAATTAGTTTCAAGGTCTCATTGCCATATCCTTATGACATTTCTGGCCATTGGCTTTGTTGATAACTTTAGAGGAGCAATGTCATTTAACACTAGAAATTGGATGTCACTGGCTGAGTCTTGGAGAAGTGATGTTTAATTTCATGATTAAAACATGAATTTGATCTGTTTCTGTGATGCTTTTCTTGGTCTTAGCCCAACCTGAACTGCTCACATTAAGCAACAACAAGATTATTCCATCATTTCCATTTTACTGTTTGCTTTTTGTTTTCCATAGCAGTTTTCTAGAGTATTCTCAGTATGCTTCCTTACTACCCAGTGCCCGGAGTAAATTTAATGAAGTAAAATATGAGGGGTCCTTAAACAAAGATGACATTATTTAGAAAATTCCTTTTGTTTATTATGATTTTTTTTTAGGGCCATCACTACTTTGTTTTTATTATAATAAAGGAAAGAAAGAAAAAACGAGAAAAGAAAGAAAGAGAAGGAAAGAGAGAAAGAAAACAAAAGAAACAAACAGCTGGTGTTTAACGACTCCGTCAGACCCAATTATAAAACATCAACTAGTTACTTTGATTTGTGTGCATCCGTGCCGTGGGTGTACTTAAAAACATTAGACTCTGCCAGAACTCATTTTGGCTTCGTTTACATTTATCTTTAAAACATATAAGACTATTGATGGCACCTCACCAAGGTTATAACCCCTTTATAATCATTAATTTTTAATCTGGAAAAGAGTCTTGGAGGCAGCAAGACTCGTCTATATTTACTTGGATGCACAAGTGAAAATATACAGGACTCAAGCGTTGGCTAAAATAATCCAGGAAAGCCCCGTCAAAGGTTAGGAATGTGATATCTTTCTGTTTCCAAAAGCAGCAGCCCTTTATTTAAGATGCTTTTCCATTTAATTTAATTATCCTTGAACTTCCCGTTAAAGGTTTTGAAAAATATATGCTAGGCGTGGGGGAGTTCAGCTTGTTAAAACTGCCACATTTATGAGTGTGGGCCTTTACTAAACCCATCTTTGGATCCAGTTGGTTTGTATTGTTAAATTCCCATTGTTGATTTTTAAGGGAAACTTTGTTTTAATGTGTGTAGTATTGAGTTTTCAGTAGTTGCTGCATAGTTCCCTTTGATTTCTAATAAAAATAAAAGGCTCTTTGAGAAGTCAGAGCTTGCTTGCTTCATGTCATATTTCTGTGTTTTAGATTTACAGATATTAATGATTCCTCGGGAAAACTTGACTTCGGCCGCCTTTCTCCATCAAAAAATGAGTACTGGGCCATGCTGGCTTACAATAGGTCCAAACTCTGCAATATCCTCTTCTCCAACGAGCTACACCGTCGCCTCTCCCCACGTGGGGTCACGTCGAATGCAGTGCACCCCGGAAATATGATGTACTCCTCCCTTCATCGCAACTGGTGGGTGTACACGCTGCTGTTTACCTTGGCGAGGCCTTTCACCAAGTCAATGGTAAGTGAATGGCTTCTAGCGCCGTGGGCATCATCCATGTGCCTCTAGGAATGGGTCCTGTAGAAACCCAGACACGTGTTTTCTTCACCTTCTTGGCTCGTGTAATGATGTTTCTGGTCTTGGTAATAACGTCGTCAGGCCTGTTAAAGCCATCGGAAAGGGTGCTTGAATGCATATATGTCAGCTTTAGATTAAATCTGTTTCTCTAAAGGTGACTCATAGGGCTGGATAGAAGAGGTGGATTTTCAGTATCGTGTTGAGTATGGCTGAAAGTCTTGAAATGATGATTTGTTTTCTTTTGATGTGATTTTGTTTGTTTCAGAAACTTTGAAAATCTATGTTGTTGAGCACAGCACTTGAAAACTGGTTTTTGGTAGTAGGTGAAAATCATGGATTTGTGATTATTGAATTATCAGCAGATATGATTCCTTTGTTTCCATTTAGAATCTGTATCTGATATTCCAAATTCTTCTTTTCATGGGTGCAAACCTCTCCCAGAGAATCCTTTGCTGGCTAAAAGTATGCTTTCTTTATTCCTTACGTCCCCAAAATGGGATCCTTTTGGATGAATCACATGATTGAGTTTAGATTTGAAAATGTTCACAAAGGTGAAGATGAAGTTTTTACAATTTTGGGGGTGGTTTATCAACCATGTCTAGAAACTTCTTCAATGAAAGCATTTTAGTAAGGAAGTAATTTGAATGAAGAAAGCACATTTTACACAATATATTTGTTAGATTACTTTTCTAAACCACAGGCTTTTAGAAATGTTTTCTTTTTAATGGACTCCAGTATTCCCGCTACCCAGAATTAACATCTCCTCCACTGAAATGATCCTTTCTCCAAACACATCTTGGCCTTTAGACGTATCACAAGTCCAACATCTCATTCTCCAGTTGATCTCACAGCCTCCAAATACACCCTGCCTTCTTCTCCTGCCTTCATTTACTCCCACCCACCGTCCTTAACCCTCATGTTTGTGGAGGACTGTTAAAACCACAGCAACAATCTTTTAGAGTAAGTGCATCTTTTATTCTAATCACCCAAGTGGTTCTTATTCAAAGTAAACAGACATAGTCCAAGAGTTGAATACTGATCAGAGGATTATGGAGAGTGAGGTTGGTATTTAGAAAGTTCAGCAAACCCTGAAACAGCACGGATCCACTCATACATGGATTTTTTCCAATACATGTATTGGAAAATTTTTGGTTAGGTATGTCATGAATGCATGACATTACCTAGCCAAACAGTTAAGCAGCCTACCTAACAGCAAGCTGTTAGTTGGGGCATGGGGCACACAATGTAGCAGGGCCCCAACTCAGGAGAAAGCGTGCGACTTACTTAAGTAGTGTTATACTCAGATTTCTGACTGAATGCATGACATTACCTAGCCAAACAGTTAAGCAGCCTACCTAACAGCAAGCTGTTAGTTGGGGCATGGGGCACACAATGCAGCCGGGCCCCAACTCAGGAGAAAGCGTGCGACTTACTTAAGTAGTGTTATACTCAGATTTCTGACTGCATGGAGGTTGGGAGGATTTGGCATCCCTAAACCCCTGTGTTGTTCAATGGTCACCTGTAAATGAGGGACACCCATTTCATTTGGATCCCAGAGTTCCAAAATTTCCCCATTGCTTTGCTCTTGATGATTGCATAAGCGTCGGCTCTCCACACGTGTCTCTTTGACCATGGTTATGCTTCCTGCTCTGTTACGTCCTTCAACTGATGTGGTAAGGAGGAATATGGGTCCAGTGCCATTTACACAACCGTGGATGAGTTGCTCAACTTTAGGAAGGCAGAGAGGAGAGAGGATCGTTTTTATTTTCTGCTAGCCCAGTGCCTTCAGGACCAAGGCCAGTCATCAAACATGATTTGTGATCTTTGTGCCTCCAGTCTTCTCACATGTGTTTGTTCATTGGTGGGAGCTAAGAAGTTCCTTTCTGTGACACTGGAGAGTTTTGTTTTTTGTTCTTCGAGAATGTCCCTAATGATGCGAATGAATGTGATGGGAAAGACTTGGAGATGGGCCTGTGACTGTATGGAATTTGATGGAGGATAATGTAACAATCTCACCAATTGTTGTGGACTCCAATGGATGAGGACTTGTTGACAGTAAATGCTAGAAACTGTTATTCTGCAGCCTGATCCCAGGGCTTATGGACTCTGGACAAGTGCAGGTTGGGGGAGAAGGAAGACAGGTTCTGGTAAAATAAAGGTGGGGTAAATATTCTTGTTTCTTGGGGAGGGACCTGTTATTTGTCTAATATCTAATATAAACTGTGCTTCGCAAAGCTGAGCTTGATTGTTGGCTCATTGGCTCTAACAGAAGGAGTTCTAAAAAATCTCAATGAATTATGTTGGGGGAGGCAACTGTGTCATGATGTCAGAGTGTTGCTGTTTGAGGGGTGAGTGTGTCAGGACTCAAGCCAAGTGGAAAGCCAGAATGTGGGGTTAGAAATGGAGTCAGAAATATTGCTTTAGGGACAGGAAAGCACAGCAAGTTAGGGGAAGGTCGCTGCTCAGTGGGCAGCACACCTGGAGCTTGTCCCAGGAATCCCAGATGCACGGCCACCACAGCTGCCTTCTCTTCCTGCCCCAGCCTTGTGTGGAGGCCTCCGCCCCCTCCCCCTGCCCTGATGGCTCCTGTGCCCCTCAGGAGAGCTCAGACAGACACTACTTGTGAGCAGGCCTCAGGGACTATAGCCAGGCAGGGCTTGGGACTGAGAAAATCACCCTCTGGGAGCAGCCTGGGGTGACGGCTAGAACAGAGACTGGTCTTCAAGACCCTGGGTGAGAAGGCTGTGGAAAAATGAGCAGATGACCCTTCAGAGGTTTGGAGGGAAGTGGTGATGTCACCAAACCTCCAGGTTTTGTTTGAGCTGTATAGGGAGTGGGGAATGCTCCTGCAAAGGGCAGGGGAGGTAGCACTTTGCCTGCAATTGACAAGGGATTTGGTGTGGCTTCCTGGAGGTGGCAAGAAGAGGAAGCAGCAGCTCGGGACAGTGGACCAAGCAGCTCTCCTGCTAATGATCCTGCAGTCAAGCTCCAGCTGTTACCCTTGATAATTGGGACACTTGGGCAAGTCACCTCAGCTTCCTGAGCCTGTCTCCTCGTGACCAATATGGCGATACAGGTTGATATGAGGATTGGCAGTAATGGGTATAACACCTATAATAATGGATATAGAATTTCTGTGGTGATTATGATATGACTATTGAGTATGGTAGCCAGTGGCCACCACATGTGGCTATTGAGTTGTTGAAATGTGGCTGATACAACTGAGGAACTGAATTTGATTCAGTTTAATTTGATTTCACTTTAATTAATTTAAATTTAAATTGCCACAGGTGCCTAGTGACTGCCATATTGGACAGCCCAATTAAACAGTGTGCCTAGCACAGTGCCTGTTGCGTAGTAGGTGTGCAGTAGTTCTTGCTATGATGGCTGTTGTTCTTGTTGTGAGTAATACCTTGGTCCTGAAGACTATTCTCTAAAATGTAATTACTGCTGAGGGATACAACAAGGCTTATTGAGCTAAAGGAATCTGTAATTGGGAGTCAGGTGGTGGTGGGTGGGGGAGGTGGCCCCACAGTCCCTGGCCCTAAAGTCCCAGAGAGAAGGTTATTGGCAAGGTAGGAAGGGTGTCCAGGTGGAGAGAGCCTGGTTTGATGGTCTTTAACCTGCACTTCTGTTCCCTGAGAGAGCCATAGCGGGGTGGACTTTCCATACTCCTGTCCCTCACCAATTGGAAAACAGCACCTTTTTATATGCCACAAATGGACTTTTTTAGATAAGTATAAAAATTAGGAAGACTATGGAATATGTAGCTAGGTTTAGGGTTTTATTGAAATTTTCTCCAATAATATCTTTATGTATTTAGCTGTTTTGTGGTATTTTTNAACCCTCATGTTTGTGGAGGACTGTTAAAACCACAGCAACAATCTTTTAGAGTAAGTGCATCTTTTATTCTAATCACCCAAGTGGTTCTTATTCAAAGTAAACAGACATAGTCCAAGAGTTGAATACTGATCAGAGGATTATGGAGAGTGAGGTTGGTATTTAGAAAGTTCAGCAAACCCTGAAACAGAACGGATCCACTCATACATGGATTTTTTCCAATACATGTATTGGAAAATTTTTGGTTAGGTATGTCATGAATGCATGACATTACCTAGCCAAACAGTTAAGCAGCCTACCTAACAGCAAGCTGTTAGTTGGGGCATGGGGCACACAATGCAGCAGGGCCCCAACTCAGGAGAAAGCGTGCGACTTACTTAAGTAGTGTTATACTCAGATTTCTGACTGCATGGAGGTTGGGAGGATTTGGCATCCCTAAACCCCTGTGTTGTTCAATGGTCACCTGTAAATGAGGGACACCCATTTCATTTGGATCCCAGAGTTCCAAAATTTCCCCATTGCTTTGCTCTTGATGATTGCATAAGCGTCGGCTCTCCACACGTGTCTCTTTGACCATGGTTATGCTTCCTGCTCTGTTACGTCCTTCAACTGATGTGGTAAGGAGGAATATGGGTCCAGTGCCATTTACACAACCGTGGATGAGTTGCTCAACTTTAGGAAGGCAGAGAGGAGAGAGGATCGTTTTTATTTTCTGCTAGCCCAGTGCCTTCAGGACCAAGGCCAGTCATCAAACATGATTTGTGATCTTTGTGCCTCCAGTCTTCTCACATGTGTTTGTTCATTGGTGGGAGCTAAGAAGTTCCTTTCTGTGACACTGGAGAGTTTTGTTTTTTGTTCTTCGAGAATGTCCCTAATGATGCGAATGAATGTGATGGGAAAGACTTGGAGATGGGCCTGTGACTGTATGGAATTTGATGGAGGATAATGTAACAATCTCACCAATTGTTGTGGACTCCAATGGATGAGGACTTGTTGACAGTAAATGCTAGAAACTGTTATTCTGCAGCCTGATCCCAGGGCTTATGGACTCTGGACAAGTGCAGGTTGGGGGAGAAGGAAGACAGGTTCTGGTAAAATAAAGGTGGGGTAAATATTCTTGTTTCTTGGGGAGGGACCTGTTATTTGTCTAA